ACTTCTAAGCTTCTCGAACCCCAACTTTGTATATTATAGCGAAGAATATTCAAAAGAGTTCGTACTTTTTCTAGTTCTTTCGGAGTTATATTTTTCCATTGTGTAAGAATATTTTCTATGGTACCGGCTGTAAATCACTCTGAAAGAACTTCGTCTACTAATTTCTGATCTCTTGCCTGGAATCCACAATGACAAAACTGATTCATCGCTGTCTCTTTACGATTAGGTGTTCTAGAAGGAAAAGGATTTGGCATTAACTCTCAAATTTGAAAACATCGCATTCATCTATCTGCTCATATTTTGAATAGTTTCATTATTCTTAGTGTTCGTGGATACTTTTGACGATACTTGAGATGGAGAGAGACGTGGAGGTGGAGATGTACTGCGCTTTCGGCGAGCTAAGTAGGCCGACTTGAGATGAGATAATAATGATTCCAAGTTGTTAAATAGTTTTTGCAATAGCCACTGTTTATCTCTTAATCCCGCTACATTGTGATTCATCACTGGCCAACTAAAATTCTCAACGATCGATACGAGTGTAGGCAGTACTTTTACCAGTGTTTCGTGATGTAGTTCCGTATCAAGAGCTGTTTGGTTAACCATATCATTGATACGATCTAATTTTTCATCTATACGATGAGTATTCTCCTTCATATCTAAAATATTTTGATTTATCGACAACAACATCTTTGTTGTATCTTCACTTTCAATCATATTGATTGTTATTGATGGTTGTACTGAAGCTAGTTTTCAAGGAATAGCACCTGGTATTTGAGATGGTAATGATGGAAATTCGTTTTCTTTCATCTGAAATTACATCGGCTGAGAACGATCTTGTAATACTAATCGATGTAGTTGCCTATTGATATTGCATTATTAACTTGTTCTTTTAATGTATATCGATATTCGACTACTTTTTCACATACATTAGATAATGAATTATGATCACCATTGCACTGTCCACAAGGAGCGATATTCGAACAAATATGTGATTGATGATCGATGATATTGTTAAGACAGATGCGACAACGTGGATGTTCGAATTCACATTTTTCTTTCATACGACCTAAACACCAACATCGAGTGCAGTATGTCATTCGATTACCAGCCAGGAATAGTGTAATGGTGCAGAATATATTTCCAATCTATATTCGACCTAATTTTAAAGCTGAATTGTATTCACGTAGATCTTTAACAATAAATCGAAAATCATTTGTTCTTCGTTTGAAATGATTTTGAATACGTCTGACATTTTCGACTGATTAAAGATTGTGTTCGATTTCTTCCTTAACATATTCGTCGTTGTACTGAAGGGGTACATAACGAACAACAAAAGCAAAAGAATCCTCAATGCATTTCCGCTTAATGACGTTGACTTTTGATATTGTTGATTTGTGATGGTCATTTATCAGTAGGTATTAACGTTGTATATGATCTCTTGTCGTTTACCCCTACTTTCGTTTATAACCCATATGACCGGTGACAGAGAACTTGATCGATATTCCTTGTTGTTTGAAGTGATCTTGAATTATACTTGCTGTTGTCCCATTGGATGGTCGTTTCTTTAAGTTTTTCTCTTCATCGTATTCGATTAAAAAAAATGGAGGATTGCTTGAAACCGCACGTTTCAGCTGCTCAAAATGAAGGAAACGATGGTGTTGTTGATATTGATTCAATATGAGATTATTATTCGATGGAAATCCTGAATTTGTAGCTATTAATAAATACATTTTACCCGAACTTTTTGTTTCCTATTTGATAAAACACGTTGTTATCTTAATACTTCTACGCCATCATTATCACTTGAATCTAAGTTCCGTTTAGGTGTTTGAGGTGTGGGTGATTCGATAGGAGCGTTAAGATTAAGATGCTGGAAATACGAAACCTGTGTAAGATGTTTATGAACACCAAGTGTGCCATTTGGGTTCTGTCGAATATAATCGATCATTTCTTCCGAATTGTAGTCTGTTGCAGTGTTAGTAGTTCCAACAATCGTTCGTTGTCTACTTTTTGGCAGTATTAATCGATGTATTATTTAGCCGTTGGTTATTTAATGAACTTTCTTTATTAGATTGATAATTAGTGTTGATTCCTCTTCTTATTAAACAAGAGGGAAAAAATGATAATGTCGAGGAACGAATGTAAGCAAGCGCTTGTACGTCTACTCTCACAAGATAAAATAATGAAGTGAATGGCAATTGTGCAGTGCCCATGGCAATTCATAAAAGCAAATATTTGTATAAAGTCAGATTCTCTATTGTTAAACAACGCAAACATTCAACTATGCTATCATCATTTCTGCACTAATATGTAAAAAAAAACAGGCAAAAAATTATAACGATTCCACTACATTCTAAACATTATCAATACCCCTTTAACACTATTCCCACCACCTTATCTATGGATTAGATCCACACTCTTCCAATGTCACCGCTCTTCGATGGACACAATACCAACCATCCAAAGGCCTCTCATATGTTTCTAACCAACTTAAAAACGATGTACTAGCCGCCATTTTTCGCCATACTTCCAATCATCTCTTCCACATGAATCCAATAACGCCATACCCGAAAACATCGAGAAGATTCCTTACTACAAATCGCAGACACAGTACTTACAGTGCCTTTCGACTGGTAGCATAAAGCACCAACTTTAACACGCAAGGCACTCATCATCAAAAATTTCAACATAATTACTGACTAACAGATATGAACATTTGAAGCCTAAGAAATGATTCAACCAAGACACTCAGAGGACTGGATGAAGAATCTTCGGCGCACAAAAGTTCAAAACAAACTCTGAGTATCATCCTGATGAAAATCCATACAGACCCTGAAAATTATACGATTAACGGCCCAATCTACGTTCACACTTACCACTTATAAACTCACTTAAAAATCCTGCAAATAAGCATTTCGAAAATATAAAATCTAGGTATCAACTGTCCCCGGCCTGCACAAACAACAGTTTCTACATAGAAGATACAGAGCGCTATTCCTTTCTCATATGATATCTGCTGACGCTATCGACAGGCACCCTTACGACGAAGCGCGCGAAAAAGACGTAAACAGAAGTCTTCTTAGGAATGTTTGTTCCGCATGTAATGTTGGATGAGTTGACCGCGTGACAACCTTTGCTTTGAAATGAGCAAAAGAGGTTGTTGGAGAAATATGAGGTCGTGTGTTTTTAGGATATGAACGAGGATGAGATTATCCGGCGGGTTTGGTTGGGTCGACGTATGGTTGATTGGTTTGATGATAGCTATTTCGGCGGTTTAGGCCGATTTATTTGACGTTTTTTTGGTTTTTTTTCACTGTGATGTATTCGTAGTTTTTAATTCTATTTGTTTCAGGGGTTTTGTATTTTAGTGAGCCAGTTGGATGAGGATGTATGTAGTGTGTTTTGTGAGTTGTACCTGTTGTAGGGCAGTGTGGTGTAGTCTGATGAAAGGTACGTTTTTGTTCTTTGAAACGGGTACGTGGTGGAATGTTCGTGTGAAATATTTCCGTTTAATCCTATTTTGGGGAAGGTAGATGATGATATAAGCTCCCTCGTTGCTTGTATATTGATGCGTTTTGTATAATGGGTTTTTCGGGTGTTAAGAACGAATGTACTCTGTCTGATTGATGATTATTTTATTGTGGAGATGGCCAACCGCTTCAGTATTGATGGACAGTGAAGTATGATTGTAGATTGTAATTGATTTAAGTCGTTTTCAGTAGAATAGGTATAGAAGCGAACATTGCTTCTGGCTGATGTTTGACGCGTTAGTGCGGTTAGATTTATGAAGAAAGCAAGAGTGAAATTATCGGGTTACATTCCGTATTATGGTTTTGTTTGTGATCATCATGCCGTTTTTTGTCATGGTAAATATGTGGTTTTAGCAAATGTTTTTGTAGGGTTGAGATAATGAAGTATGCCAAAGTGACTGCTATAGATATTTCATTGCCTATCGTAATGAAACAAACATGCAATGTTTAGAAAACTCGAAGCTTATGGTAGTATCCCTCGTAGTTGTATTGGTTGCTCTTAGATAGGGGTGCAACAAATCTTGAATAGATTTGGGATTTGGCACCAAATCTTTGAGATTTGGTCTTGGATTTGGATTTGGTTTCTGGATTTGGGTATGGTTCGGATTTAGTTCCTAGATGTAGATTTCATCTAGATTTGAATCTCAGGATTGCTGCTATCGCTTTGTTTGGCTGAGATTTGGGATTCGGAATTGGTGATATGCTTGAAATTTGGGATTTGGATTTGGACTTGGATTTGGGTTTGGGTCTTAGATTTGGATTTGGACTTGGGATTTGGTTCCAATCTAACATGACTCCAACTTTGTAGTCTTGTTAAATTGAAACCAAATCTCAACCTCCAAATCCAAATCCCAAACCCAAATCCTACCCAAATCCCAACCTGCTATACACCAAATCTCAAATCCAAATCTAAGATCCAACTCCAAATCCCGAAACCCAAATCTATACCAAATCCAATCCATTTCATATTAATTTATAAGACTTGGGATTCTTTTCTCCCTTCTGGGACTTTATTTTACAAAGCCTCGTCATATTTGGGTAATTTAAGACCAAACCCAAACCCAAATCCAAATCCAAATCCCAGTCTAGAACAAACCCAAATCTGTTTGTACCAAATCCCAAGGCTTTGGGTTTGTTGCACCCCTACTCTTAGATATGTCTTGTAGGTGTGTCATCCTGAAGCTCCTGTGTATGCGTACCTTAGTGTGTATGAGAGAAGTGGAGTCTTAATGGGGCAATGGTGTTAGAGCTCCTTTCGTCAATGTCGGCAGGTCAGTGGACATAGAATATTTATAATACTGTAAGTGGTGTTGTAGACGTTTCTGTTGGACGGAAGTTGTTCATTCAAGCAGTTATATCAAAGTTGAATATAAATACTTGTCATACTTTTGTTTCCTTGTTATTAGAAAAGGGAATTTAGTGTTAGAAGAGAACACCACTATCGACTTTTGATGATACTTTGACCAGGGTTTCGTCTTAGGGCATGTTTGAACTTTTAGAGAAACAAAAGCAGGAACATTTTGTATGTTCTGAAGAGAATTTAAGTATTAAAATCGAGCTGGTTAGCGTGTATCTTTTGAATGTGAATCAAAAAGTGACCTTAGTAATAAAAGAACGACAGAATTGATAGATGATTGTTTCGTAAAGATATTTAGTCACTAACTAAAAGCATGTGCAATATAGATGGCTTCTTCTGCTCTTTCATACTTATAAATATGACAAAGTGACGTTAGTTAAATCATCAGCAATGCTGTTCAACTCAAATATAACTTTCAATGCATCGAAAGAACATTACCATCATCAGTAACACATCCTATAAATCAATATTTTCACACACATAACAAGTTATCGCTAACTACATGTACTTCCAAATTTAGCACCAAACTGAACTTCGAATGCTTGTGTTACAGTAGGATTAGTGGCTAGCATCGTATTCGGCGAATAATTGTTCCTAAAAAATCATTCAGTTTACAAAAACAACGAAAAGATTGCAAAAGTTCAAATCTCATAAAATAGACAAGGATTTTCGTTGCATACGAGAAAAATGCTAAGAACTGAATTAATACGAACATCTGCCATACGTACTCAGGAACCATATCGTCTCTTCACTTGTATTATGTATTC